TTTCCACTCTTAAATAACTCTTGGGCAATTCTCGTCAATCAATTTTCTCACATATAAGAAATTTTAAAAATATTTGCTAGTCAATACTTAGATCCTTATTGACTTCAAAATGCTAAAATACAAATAAAAGAATAAATGTCATTTTTAGCTATTTTATTATAAATAAGGAAGCACTTTTTATAAACAGAATTAAGAGTGTGCAAGTAGGAGTTTAAGTAAACTGTAAATAAATAAATATACAGTTGTTCGATATAATTCTGTAAAATATGTAATATAACTGCCAATGCTTCTAAATACTTTTGTTAAATGTAAATGTTAAAAAATATTGGATTTGATGTTTTTTTTTAAAGGTAAATGATAATAAATTTTTTTTATTTGATGTCCAAATCATTGCCCTTTGAAAGAAGACTTCCGGATGGAAACTGCGACCTATTTGAGACTTGGTCTGACTTTTAGTCGTCTGCCGTTAATTTGCCTGCCGGCTTGGTGCTGGGTGATGGGTGATGGGTGCTGGGTGATATTTGCAGAGTCAGCCCAAGGTATTTCTGCATCTCTGCCCCCGAACTCATGGGTATATACTATATAGTATCTCGTATATGTATCTTGAACGTATCGTGCCGAGGTAATTTTCATGCAGTCATTCCTCATTCATTAAAACGTCGCATGGCGTCCGCAGAAGAAAGATAGAAAGACGATGGCGATGGCGAAGAATGGTGAAGAATCGCCACCAGAAGACTGGCAGCAAGAAGAAGCCAAAGACTGTGGACTGTGGACTGTAGACTGTAGACTGGAGACTCGAAAGACGCGGCATGGACTTTTGGCATGGCATTAACCCGTAGAACTCCTTTCACTTTACATTCTAATTCCAAAAGTTCCAGCATTCGCATTCGCATACCAAGACCCCGATGTGTGGGCAAAGGGGGGCGGCGACGGGGGAGGCCGGCATTCTTGGCACCGCCATCGAAAACCTGAAAGCCCCATGAATGCTAATGCTAATGCCTCGTACCGGCCAATTTCCCCTCGGGCGGCCTATAAAATATGTACAGTATAGAGTGTGTGTGTGTGTGTGTGGGGGGGACATACTGTATGCAAGCGCGCACGGTGCAAAACAAATTTTTACCAAAATCGGTCAATACTTTGCTGTTTTTCCGCGTCAAAATAGTTGTTAATATCAGCATAGCGACATGAAAATTTGTGTGTGACAAGCTTAAAGTCTGCTATGTACAGAAGCAATAATGGACATTTTTTATTTTGATTTTTGCTTTTGGAATCTAATTTTAGTAGTTATAACATATCATATCATTGAATTTCTAAAACATGTACTAAAATAACAATGCTTACAATTTATTTATTTATTTATTTATTAATTTTAATTTTACTGTATTTTTTTCATAACACACACTTTTACTAATAATTTACTCGTGTTTCAAATTAAATATAATTTAAATGTAAGTGGAAAACAATGACTTTGTTCATATTTTAAATGTTAATATTGGTACATTTTTTTCTGTGCAACTACAAAAACATAAAACAAAAAACAAAAAAACTTAAATGAATTCCCAACTAAAAACTCACAGCTATCGATCGAAAGTTGAAAAGGCGGCCAAATCGATGGCACAAATAAAATATTTAGTTGGGCCCAAGCATTATGCATAGTTAAGTAACTGGGAAGCGTGGAAATGTATGCAGTGACACTATCTGCACTTAATTGCTGACACCCAGGCACACTCATGTCTTATTTTGTTAAATGGAAGTTGAAATTCCAAAGTGAATTCTTCAACTGGAGCATTGATTATAGAATAGATAACAAAGTAGACAGTGTAAGAAATAATGTACTTTAAAGGCAATGTCAATGAAAACTAAAAGTTAATAGATACACAAATCATCTTTTTTTTAAGACCATAAATAATACATATTAAAATTAAAGATTTTCGTTGCATGATGATTTTGATAATTTTTGTATTGTATTAAGTATTGAAATAAGCAATAACTAAACTAATAAAAGTTTTGTATATCTTATATATTATTTGCAACCTAAGCATTCTTTAAAAATAAAAGTTTACAAGTTTAATAAAAAACACTTAATGAAAATAATAACTATTTAATAATGATAACTATATAACTGTTCAAATTCGTTTCTATATTATTTACAAATAAAAAAAAAATTCTTAAGAAAATTATAACTACTTGTATAAATTAAAAAAAATAATAGTTTGCTATAAAATAGTAATAGCTTTAACGGATCTTTGGTAACACCACCATACTTTTGTTATTCTGTGTCGCTTAATACTGTATATATAGTGAACAATATAGATAACTGGTGGGTCCCAAAGGGCGTTGACAGTTGTAACGGGGGAGGTACTATATAAATATATAGTACCTGTGGCAGGTGCGATAAGGGCCACAAGGGGTTGGGGTTTCCAAATGGTCTGGACATCGGCGGTGGTGATATGATCTGGGGGGCAGTGCTATAAATATTGCCCAACTGATAGAGATCGACAGACCATGGCTGCGCCACTCGAAGCATTACGCTAATGCTGCCAAAAAGCGATTAATCATCTCCGCCGCCTGTTTAGACGACAACAATAACAAGAGATTAACAGGGCCGATGTCTGTGGCCGATTCTGATTATGATTCTGATTCGGTTTCGGATTTGGTTCAGACTCAAACTCCGATGCTGTGGGAAACAACACAAAGGAGTACGCCTACAGTGGGCAAAAAAAAATGACTGCTGATTTGAAATTAAATCTATTCTGAGCAGTACAGAAGTCATGAATCTTGTAACTGTTTATTTTATAAAATTTTTGAATTGAAGCTGCCATTACTAAATGTCTAGTAGTATTATATATGTATATGACACTATTGAAATGCGAATTAATTAATAACTTTTTTCTTAAACATATAGGGATATAAAACTTTAATACTTAAATGCAGATCGATATTTATTTTTCTAACATGAGACACGTAAGGTTAATCAAATATTTTAAAATTTAAAATAGTTATATAGTTATATATAGAATTTATGTACTGACAGTGGGGATTTTTTCAGTGCCTTATTCGGCATGTGTAGCCGCTGAAGAGGCCACCGGCTCATCTGGAGTGCCACTTGCCACTTGCCACAAATTCCCTTAATCATCGCCTGGTGTAATAAATCTAATTTCCCCCAGAGCAGCCGCCAATCGATCGATCTACATATGCGGACACAAAAACCAATCAACTTACTGGCCATATCTCCACTCCACAAAGGCACTTCAATTCATATTCAACAGCTTTGGATCGAAAACAGAGCAGAAAATGAGCGACAAGAATTTTTCCATAACGCAAATAAGAAACACATTGTTAATGAACCCCGAATAACATTAATTTTATCGTATGGTTATTAGACATTTTCAGTAGAATTGTTTATTTAAAATTGTGTTAGATAATTCCATTTTTAAATAAAATATAATATTGAACTAAGGAGTATACCAATTTAAACTTTAATGTTCAGAAATTTTGTCTTGGTCTTAAACTTTCTCAATAATAATATTAAAATAAAATTTTTGTGGTTTAAAAATAACAGTTTTAACAATTTTGAACACTTCGGCATAGAAATGAAACTAAAATGTATAGGGGTTATATTATTTAGTACTGAATTAATACCTAAACTTTAATAATGTCTGTAGTATTTTTTCAAGACGGACTTATTAAAACTACACTTTCAGTTTCTTTTTGTTGGGTGTAGCTGTTTCAAAGTATTGCATTTAGTTATTAGTACTTTGTTTTGTCGATAAAATGCAAAGATGATTTTCTCGCTTAACAATGTAATTCTCTGCAAGCGGATGTGATTGGCAGATAGCAAAGCCCCCATAGTAATAGTCCCTGATCTCTAAGACTCGCCCAATGCCACGACTTTGGGGAGCGGGGAAAAGCGAAAGAAAAACAGACAATGCCAGCCAATTACCAGCGATAACACAAATATTTCTGTAACAACCAGTTCTCGGGCCGAGTTTTCAGTTTTTAGTTTTCAGTTTCGATTTCGTCAGTCGGCCAGAAATTAGCACGTAACTGAGCCCCACCCCAAAAAGCCAAAAAGCCAAAAACCGAAGCCCGAAGCCCGAAAAACCAATGGCACTAAGTCATAAAAATAACAATGAACAAGACACAAGACACGGCCCAAAAATGTACAACAATTTTTATTATATCTTTTCTATTTTCTTGTTGATTATTTGGTCTTTTTGTTTTGTGGCTGTCATGCTCATTGAGCACGCTTTTTCGCTTTGCCAGGGCGCAATGACAAGGGGAGGCTGCCCTGGTAGCCGAGCTTCACTGTTCGGATTGTGCGTGCCCCTACTTACCGGCGATTTGTTGACATTAGGTCTTAAAATTTATTAGTTCTTATTGTCAACGGTTGGTGTAGGCCTTTATTTTGGTATTTATTTCAGTTTGGGGCGTGGCCAATGGGATTTCGGTTGCCTAATGCCCCCTCCATTCCACCACTCCACCATCCACCATCGAATCGATTCGAGCGGAATGCAATGCCATAACAATTAAATTAGTGACAATTAAGAGTGGTGGGCCTTTTACTGGATATACGAGTGTGTGCAGTACTCCAGGTTCTGTGGGCACAACAGCTATGAAAATTAAACCCTTTGCCAGCTTTTTCTTTACTTACAAAACTTTTACTTTCGATTTCTCGCCAAGAAACTATTCCAATACAGAATTTCCAAACCATTTACAATTACCTAACCTTTTGAAGGGAGAAAAATAATGTTCAAATCCTTTATTTATTAAATCTGTAAAATAATATTAAAATACTTACTGGCATTTATTAAGCAAGTTTAAGCAAAAAAAATTATTTAAAAATATTCTTTTATAAAGCCTCAAAACTACTAAATACAAAAAAAAAAAAAACTGTCAATACAATATATATATATATATATATATATATATATATATATATATATATATATATATATATATATATATATATATATATATATAAACAAAAAATGAAGGTGTCACTCCAAAGGTGTATATATATTTGTTAAATTAGGCCAAAATAATTTGAAATTAACGCGTCGCCGTAAGAATCGCCTCCAAAATTTATTCATCACTCTGCTCGTCCAAAGTCAAAGGAGTTGGGTTCCAGGAAGTGTATGGTAAATTGTGGGGCTGGCCAGGATCTATTTCTCTATTTTTCACCCGAGGCGGCCAGGGCGGTGAGGAAGAAGAAGCCCGACCAACTGACATAGGACACGGGTTCGCCGCTGCCCTCGCCGACCTGCTCCTCGCAGAACTTGGCCCCGAACTTGGCCATGAAGGCCAGGAGGGCCATGCCGGCCAGGTTCCAGCTGCTCTCGTTGATCGACAGGTAGAGCAGCGACGTGATGTTGCCCAGGACGGTGAGCGTCTTCAGGGTCTCCAGGACACCACCCTCGCTGTCGTCGCCACTATCGCCCTTCACCATGTTCAGGATCACGCCGACCGCCAGCGGAACTATGAACAGTCCATGGCCCAGGGCGATGTTGTTGCTCTCCGCGGCCAAGTACAGGTCCACATTGACCAGCGGCAGCGGGATGATCTCCATGATGCCAGTGGTCGTCTCCGTGACCTTTTTGGCATTGTCATCGCCGGTCAAGCCGCTCACCAGGCCGCCCAGTCCATGGCAAAACCCAATCACGCAGGCGGTGAAGGCATATGGGTGCTCGCTGGGCCCGATCTTGTAGAGCCCAAAGCCGGTGGCTCCGCAAAGCAAAACATTGAGAGCAGTGCTCACAGCCGAGTTGTCCGACATCCTTGTGGTTTCTCTAGTGGATCACTACCTTCCTTATTAAACTTGCTTTCTTGATAGTTTGATTTGTGCTTTGTGCTTTGTGCTTTTACTTAGTTGTCAGATTGATTTTCTTTTATAATAAAATTTGCCGCCCAAGTGCCGCTCATATGATTAAAGAGTTCTTGAATTGCTACCTTGCTTTGTGAGCAAAGTAAGGACTTCTGCTTTTCTCCTGCCTTAAAAGGTTTCGAAATGAAGCAAAATGAGAAAATATGCTTTTGACCACTTACTTTTGTGCTTGGTTGCTTTCTCAGCAAGTTGTGGTCTGCTTGCTCACGTAGTTGTGCGTGTTTTATTGTTGCATCGAAAGAGCACGCACAAAGTTATTTGGAAGTGACAGGATAAAATTTACTATTTAAAATTTATTATTTATTTTGTTCTGGTTTTACGAATCTCTATTCAGCTTGACTCGAAAATGGGTCGACCGAAACGTTGAACGAGCTGTGTGATAATGCTTCACATCTAGCACTAACAATCTGTAGAGGCAAAGGTAAAGTCAAAGCCTACTTTTAGTTGAAAAAAATAACCGGAGTGTTTCTGCTCTAAGATATATACAACCTAAATATTATTTTTGAATACTGCTAACCGAAAAATGTCCAAATGTTCAAAAATCCTACCGCCTATAATATATGTAAGTGTTGGGCCCTAGAATATCTTTCGAATTGATTCATAAATACCAAAGCTCTTTTAATTTTCTTTAAAAAATAAAGTATTATTTTGGAAAACAGGAAGGTGTCTATTAAATTTTGAAAATTAAATTTAAAATATTTTGCATACGGTTTTGGAATCAGAAAAAAAAAATTCTGCTGTCCAATATATATTAAAGTATGCCATAGAAAATCTTTCAAATCTATTTCTGAATATCAAAGCCCTTTTCGTTTTCCTTAAAAAAAAACTTGAATTTAGTTAGCCAATTCACGTTGCACATATTGAACAGACTGTACTTCAAAGTAAAATATAATTCAAATTGATTTCTGAATATATCTTTTTTCGTGAATAATATATTGTACAAGTTACTGTTAAATAAAAGAATGGAGACCAAAGAGATGAAAAGTGTGAATAGCGATGATATCCTGCTGGAGCATCCCGACGTATTGATAACGCCGAATTGGGAATGGACGCAGTATATAAACCACCAGATCGCACCGCGTCCAGTGGTTCAACCCTTAATGGATGTCGCCGATCCCCAGTGGAGTTCGCCGATATCGAACAGCTCCAAGTTCGGTTTTGTGGATTCTATAACTGGGGTAATCTCATCCTATCCCCCATCTTTCATAATAAGTTCGGATGAAATTAGTCACGATTTTGAGGACATTTTAACCATTTCGCGGCAACGTCGCCTGCACAATATGGGCGAATCCTGGAGCGTTTCTCAGCTGCTGTCCACAAGTGAAGAGCCCGGCGAAGAGGCTTCGTCTGAGAAACCTTCTTTAGCATTGATCGCGGATCCAGAAGCCCCCCTTCTGGATCTCAGCCCCAAAATTGGTGCCAGTGATTTCGAGGTCATGTCGAGGCTGAATAGCGCCAATCCGAATATTTCCTTTGCCGAGGCACTACAGCTCAAAACAGGGCGCAAAATGGGTAAGTTCCCCTACTTTGTCCAAAAAATACTGAAAGTTTAGTTTTACAGACAGTATTAAACTATAAGCAGTAATTCAATACTTCATAGTATAATCCCTGTATTTTTTAGTTTCATTTCGCTACCGAAGAGTCTAAAACTGTAGTCTAACTCTTAATTTTTAAGCCACGTTAGTTTTATTTTAATACATTCATCATACGTCTTGTTGAGAAATTTGTTCATTTGTTCATCTTAAATCTAAGTAACAACAATCTAGTCTCTATGATATTTTTTTGAGGCTTAGTTGACTTAATGCGATTTAAGCTTTGACACCTAGTGATGGCTAGAAAAATGAACTAACTATACAAACGCTTAAAATTAATTTAAAATGTATTTTCCTAAAAAATATTTCAATATCTGTGTTTTATATACATTTGTTAACAAGTTATTTATTAATTAATTAAAGAACAAATAAATTGTATGTTCATTTTATATAGTTCATACATTTAAAGATAAAACAAGTTGATTTAGTCAATCGAAATGAATTTCATTCAAATATTTTAATTATTGAGGAAGATATAAGATTTAAAATGGGCATTATATTTGTTAAAATGCTTTATATATTAAAAGATTAGTATTGCTTAAAGTTAACTTTCAGATATTGTTAGTCAAATGAATTTTAAAAAATAATTAAATGTTTTGGGTAGAATTCAAAGCGAAAAACATTTAAATTGATTAGGAAATACTTGGACTTACTACGTGTTTTGTCATGTTATTAAGCAATTTTTTTGTAGTTAACTATGAGATTATATGGGAAGCGGTAAAGCAACGGGTGAACGACGACCTGGAGCTCCAGTTTGAGTCGATGTTCTGCTGCGTGGACCGCTACCTGTTCACCTACTTTGCCCGTAATTTGCGCCTCTGTGGGGGACCCTTTGTGCATATCCCGGTGCAGAATATGCAAATGGACCTGTTCACCAACATCTACGAATGGATGCTGGACCCCGAGGGCATTTCCATCACCCACGACTTGATATCCTTCTACCTGGGGGCCAAATTCCTGGGCATCAAGCCGCTGATGAATCTGAGCTGGTACAACTTCTCGTCGGACCACGAGCTTGGCTTTTGGGAGGCGGACGCCTTCCACGCATACCTGTTGGCCCGGGAGCAGAAGTGCACCGATGTCATGATACTGATGATGTCGCGGATGCGCAGGTGTTTCCTGCCGGTGGTGGCCTCCAGCGAGTTCCTCGACTTCGAGATCTCGGAAGTGGCCTGTCTGCTGCGCCAGGACACGCTGGGCGCCAACAGCGAGGACGAGGTCTTCTTCGCCTGCCTCCGCTGGCTGGAGTTCGACTGGTCCGGGCGCCAGAAGCACCAGGTCGATCTGCTGGGCAACATTCGCTTCGCCCACCTGTCGTCCGGGCTGCGGCGATCCCTGGCCAACTATCCGGAAAACGAACACATCGCCGAGATTGGCCAGCTGCCTGAGGTGGGTATACACTGAAAAAATTAATTCCAAGGCTCAATGAAGCTAATTGCTAATGCTTGTAATATCATGTTAAACTAATGAATTATATAAAGACAAGCGCAGCTTAAGAGATTGCATTGAAGAGGTAGCATAACTATTAGATTAGATTAACATTCTATTAATAATATATCAACAGGAAACTGTGTTTGCATTTTCTGAGTTTCAAGTGCCTAATATACTTTGATAAATTATCATGTCTGCAGGTAGCCCGTTGGCTTTGGGAGAGCACCCTGTACTGGCAGGCGATTTTGATCAGGGACCAGAAGTTAGCTGATCCGGACGGTTTCGTCCAGCAGATGTTGGATATGTGCCAGCAGGACAGGGCCCCGGATCGGTACTGGGTCTATTGCCCGGGCGTTCCACACCACCATTCCATGCAATGTCCGCGCCATCGCGAACTCACCTTCGGGAGCTTCAAGCGCTTCCTGATCCGCCTCCAGACCCTCAGCCAGGATTTCATGGACAGTCTGAAGTGCATACCGGACAAGAACTGCCTCGATTACTGCTGTTGTGACGACCTCCCGGGTTTCGAGCGGACTTGCCCACATCCCCCCTTCTACTTTGAGGACTTTATCCCCAGCTAAATCCATTCATTTGCATTTGTAATTTGAAATATTTTATTTATCGTTGGGCTTTCGAAGTTCTGAGAAAACTCAGCTCATTAAAATGTTTCCCTGTGATTATTGATCAATTTTATACCTTTTAATCTAAAAAGGCAGGTTTTAATTTAATTTTGTACGACAAATTTATATTTGGAGTTTATTTTTATATAGATTATTCTACACTATATTTTTCTCATACAGAAAAAAAAATGCAAGTATGATTTTGATTTTTACAGGCCATTAATAATGACATAAAAAAGGGATTTGTTTTTCGCTTTCGCTCTATTTCAAGATGCACCCTTTAAAACAGAACTTTAATTTTTTTTTGGGTGTATAACATAACATATTTATTTTATAAATTTTCCTGGTATCTTGGAGTAATTTAGAATACAAGATATCATAGGATTTGCAAATTTCGATTCTGCCTAACTTCAGGCTGTCCTACGTGTTATATATCCCACATCCGACTAGTTCAGGAAAGGAGCTTGCAGGGGGATGGAGGCAGGACTATCGCTGTCGTGACTAGCACCCTCAGAGTCCGTGGTGATCACACTAGAGCTGTCCTCGTAGCTCTCATCGAATCCGGCAAATTGTCGTCGATTTTGGGGATTCTGATGACTCTGGACGGGCGGTGCCTCCCTGGCCTGGCCACCCATATGGATGCGCACATTCTCATCGGTGTAGTCGACAATGCGACGCTTGCGGCGACGGATGTACAGCTTCTGGCGCAGATAGATCTTCAGCAGGCCCTTGGCCCCGATGTAGGTGATACCGCCCAGTAGGGTGCGCTGCAGCGGATCCTCCATCCGCTTGAAGAACATATTCCCCATCGCGGTGGCCAACGTGGGCAGGAACACGGCTCCGCAGAAGAGTCGCGATATGTAGAGGGGATCTGTGAGGACGGGAGTGTTTTGCAGGGGTGGCAAACTGCTCGAACTGTCGCTCAGAGCGGGATCCAAACCGGCGGTTTCCGGCTCGCCAGCCCAGCGAAAGAAGGGCAACTTGCGGAGGATGTTGTACCGGCTCCGCATGACCTTGAGCACGGCATCCTGCCACCGCACCAGTCGGCCGAGCACCAGGCCCACGGGAATGAGGGGCAGGCCCAGCAGCAAGAAGACCTCGCTCTCCATGAGTTCCAGGGCCCGTCTGTGGCCCACCACCTGGAAGACGGTCACGGCTCCGTAGGTGGTGGCCGTCCAGTAGACGCACCACATCAGCACATGCACGGCCAAGTAGGGGCAGGTCCTTCTCACTGCCCGGTCCAACCAGTCCAGAGCACTGGCCAAGCAGTTCGTTCTGGGAAAGACGACGATGTACTCCGTCTGGCACTGCTGGCAAACCACCGAGGTGCGGCGACCGCCCCCCGCTGCTTCTCGTCGATCCACCGACACAGACAGCTCTGGTGCACCCACATGGTGGCGCCACGGCACCGACACGGTCTCACCCACTTGGCCCGCGGGTTGTCCTCCTCGCCGGCGAAACATATCCAGCAGAAGCGATCCGCCGAACGGTGGATCGATCCACCGCTGGATCTACGCATATCCATTTGATCGATATCGAACTGGAGGTCCATTGATCCCCCTTTATCACACCACACCACGGTCAAGGCGGTGCAAATCCAAAGAGAAAGTGCAAAGTGCAACAATCCAGAGACTAAAAAGGAATTACTGGCAGAACTGTACCGCCCGATTTTGGCTCAGAGCCACACAGAGCTGTGTACCAAACAAAAATTCTAACGACACTTAAAGCACAAGTAGGCTGATTG